AAAAAACCAAATAACAGCCAATCAATAAATTCCTCTTTGATGTATGTGATAGCACATTACTGTTCATTAATAGTAAGTTTCCAGTTCTGATAAGGCAATAACACCTTTAAAATAAACACACGATGTTTGAACTTTAAATATATTTGTGCTTTTTTTGGTATATGTGTTTTTATCTCCTTTTGATCTCTAAATTATAGAAAACGAAAGATCAGTGTTTTATGAACATGGCTGCTACATTAAAATTTGCTGATCTAAACGTCGGACAAGATAAGTGTGTTGTGTGTGTTAAGATCCTTGCTCTGTGGATCCCTAACGAGGATAGGCTCGGCCGTGTTTGCAAAATGATACTAGCTGACGAGGAGGTATTCCATCTATAACATCAATTTTCTTACTTTATTGGTAATTTTGTTCGCAAGCTTTGAATTTAATTTCAAATCTGTTTGAAATTTTAGGGTGTTAAGATTGAGTCAACTGTTCCCCATCCTCATTATTCCAAGAGGTTCGAGAAGATTCTCGAGCAGGGCCGTTGGTTTCTTTTTGAAGATTTTAGGGTCGTTACTAATCCAGAAGTCTTGAGGAACACTGCTTGTCCTTATATAATCCAGTTCACTTGCAAAACTAAAATTGAACCGATTTTGGGAAAAAAAGAATCTGGTTTCTTTAATTTTATATCGTACACAGATATCATTGAGGGGAGAAATCTCAAACTTGATCTTCCTGTTGGTAATGTACTCGATTTACTCATAATATTGTCCGTAGTCCGTTAATTCTTATATATGTTGTATCTTTATTTCAGACCTTTATGGAGTCATCATCAGGATCTCGAGGGTTAAAAGACTTCCTTATGTTGCTAACTGGGATGAGGTTGGTAAACAACCTAATTATCGCAATTTTCAGATCGTTGATGCAGAGTAAGTGTAAATCGATGTTACTTTTGTGTATGGCGTGATCTAAGAATTTAATTAATACTTAGTTTTATTGTGTACAAAGAGGTACGGTGATAAACTGTTGTGCATGAAGAATCATTGCACTGAGCTAACAAAGATGTGGAATGAGGCAAATTATGACATTAGAGTACGTGGGTCTACGGTCTTTTGTGTGCTAAGGTTTTGGATGATCTCTGGATTAGAAGGTATGTAACGTGCATTTACCATCGATTATTTTTATATTGTTAGTGTTTTGTTTTAGTCGTTTGATATATAAAATCATCGTTTCTTATTCGTATAGCCGAAAGATGTGTTACCAGTGGAGATGGGTGCTCGCAGCTCCTACTGGATCCTGAAATTGCTGAACTTGAAGATGAGATATATATGTACTTTTCCTTATAACTCTTTGTCCGATCATATAAAATTATTATTATTACTGGTTTTGTTTGTTTTGATTTTATTGACTCTGACTTTCTTGCTCTTCTGTTGTGTAGTGCCAAATTCACAAGCCAGTTTTATAAAAAAAAGGCTGATCCGGAGAGTGAAGATGAGATTGACTGGGGGATACCAATTCAGCGTAATTGGTAGATGGTTATCGAAACATCGTGTCATCCATCTGTGCTATTACTTGCGCTAATATAATTGTAATAATCTATGGAACGGCGACTACAAGAAACCATGTGGTTTCTTCTGTCTGATTTACGATTTACTCTTTGTTGGATGTTGATCAGATAACTTTCCTCTTTGTTTTTTTTTGGTGGGAGATTTATTATTTTTTCCCTTTCTGTTCGGTTTATTTTGCCACCAAATACGTTCGGATTGTTTAGACAAATGACAAACTGTTATTCCGTAGTTGGGCTTTGGCCCATGAACGTAAGATTCAGTAAAATGTTAATTTTCACATGTATAAAATCTATACGTTATAATGCTGAGGTATCAATTTCACAAATAAACTGGATATTTATCAACAATAAGTACATTAATATGTAGTGATATGGTCGTATTCTTATTGTAAACTAACCCACATGTTGATTTCTGTACGCACATCTTGATTTCCTTTTTTAAGAACTATAAAATGGTAACTACCTTAACCGGTTTTGTATATTTTCTATAATACTTTCGATTTGTCGTCCACGATATGGCAAATTATCATTTCGTTATTGGGCTCTGGCCCATGCATTTATGGTTCTGTAAAATGTCAACTAATCACATATGTTAAAACAGATCTATATAATATCGTAAAGTTAGATTTCCTTTCGGGATATTAGTTTATAAAATATTTAATATTCTGTAGCGATAAGGTCGTATTCCTTATTTTGTAAAAATACGAATGTTAATTCCCTTTTTTTTGGAACGCTAAAATGATAACTACCTTTAACTTATTATAGAGATAAAACCGAATAAGTTTTTAATAATATTTGTTAACATTTATTCACGGTTGGTGATATATATGCATGTATTTTCGGGTGGAGATATCACGAAAAAAGTATATAAATACTGGCATCGTTCTCTTTTCTTTTATCATCCAAGTTATAATATATCTTCGCTCTGCCTCGACTTAGGGATTTTGTATTTTTACGGATGGAGCCGTATCCTCTTTCGAAGCTGAATCCTGATACCAGCGAGTGGCGTATTCGCGCAAAGGTTCTTGCTATTTGGCAAGAGTACTACGATCATTATTCGACGGTTGACGTCGTGTTGGTCGATGATAAGGTATAACTCATGTTCTGTGGATTATTGTTTTTTAGTATAGTTTGCATGTATAAGTCGTAGTGTAATCATGTGTTGTGTATATCGTATCTCAGGGTGGGAAAATCCACGGTATCATACCTATGGAGCTTATGCCACAGTTTTCGTCGAGAATCGTGGAGAACCGATGGATAGTGATAACAGATTTTATTTTGAGACCTGTCGTGGATGCGTTGAAGCCTGTTGCTCATAGATTTGAGCTGGTATTTCATAAAAAAACATTATGCGATACTCTGCAGGAGAGATCGGTGATGGTTTCTATGATTTCGTGGATTTTGGGATAATCCTAAATGGGTCGCATGATACGTCCATTTGTGTTGGTATGGTTTTTATCAGTTGTTTCTTTTTTTTTATAAATTAGTGTTACGATTTTTATTTCGACCGACGCTTTTATTCATGCAGATATCATCGGAAAGGCCATTAACGTTAGTAAAATAACCTCTTTTGGTTGTCACGTGTATGAGGATCAGGTGGAACATATAGTCTTTGATCTCCAGGATACAAGGTACATTAATTATGCTACTTTGATACACAGAAGGAGTTGATTATTTATCGATCTGATTTATTTAAACTATATAACGCAGTGAGAGAGTTTTGAGATGTGTTTTAAGCATTACGGATGCTTTACCTCTTTATCGTTTGTGGATGACTGATCCATCCGATGTTATCATATGTGTACTGCGATTTGTCCGTGTCGAGTTTAGGGAAGGTACGTAGCATAGAAGAAATAGTTTAGAAACATCGGTTAATCATGGTTAACGTGTGGTTTCAATTTAATCCGTAGGCATGTGGATATGCTCAGGGGTGCGCTGTTCGAAACTGCTGTTGAATCCTTCGATACCGGGTGTAAAAAAAATGAAATCATTGTACGTTATATATTTGTTTGAGGTTTACTCATTTGCTTGGAATGCTGATGGGCATCGCTTTTTTCCTGTTGATACATGTTTTATTCGATTGTTTGTTTGCTTTTTGTAGCTTCTCGATCAAGCACGGTCCGGTTGCGAAGAAACAGAAGATTAAAGACTGAACGTGACCATAGATCTATATTTTAGTTTATCTCCTTATAGATGTTTTTACGTTATGTTATCGTCTCGGTCTATCGGTCATACACATTATTTTATTTTGGATATTATCTTTAACGTTATTAAAATAAAACAGATTTAATTTATATATTGGATTACTACACACGAACGAAAACTACATCGTATTAAAAAAAAAATGCATAGTATCGATAAAATTAGACTGTGTCTGTTGTTTATTCTTGGGATATTGAGATTGGAATTGCTTTTGCAATGAACAATCTTAATGAGGTATGTATATATAATCATTAAATTAATAACGATATGCGTTGTTAGCAATATTTATTTAGTTAAATTTATACCTAAATAGAAAATCCCCGGAAACCTTATCGAATAATTTATAAAATTCATATATAAATAAATATTCGAGTTATTCGTAGATTAGGTATTTTTGGTTTCATTCATAGCATATAAATATAGTCCCTTACGCGTTTATTCGTGTTATAATCGTCGTCATGTTTACCTCCAAAACATATGATAGTGTTTGGCGATTGAATCCTTCCAAGTACGAGTGGGTTGTCGAAACCAAGGTTCTTTGTTCGTGGACACGGCGTCTAGAAAACAGTGGCAGGCGTTTAGAGTTTGTTCTCGCGGATCGTGAGGTTTGTTTATATTATAATGTTTTGTTTTTTTATAAGCTGATGCTCTTGGATCTTACTTTTATGGATTTGTTCGTTGTAGGGTAACAAGATACAGTGCTCTCTATGGGGAGAGGTTTACGATAAATTTGTGTCTGTAATAGTTAGCGGTGGTTGGTTTCGGATTAAGGACTTTAAAGTTGTTCATCAGACTGGGGATTGCAGAGCAACCTTGCACCGCTATAAGATGATTCTTTTGAAAAACACTACGATTGTCAAGATACCTGATATCGATAACAATAAGTTTTTTGATTTTGTTGATTTTGGAAGTATCTTGGACCGAAGATATTCTGACGACTTTTTGGTTGGTAAGATTTGTGGTTCTTATTGTGTCTTAACATGTTATCTGTTATATTCACTGTTTTATTGACGTTTCATATTTCCGTTGTGCAAGACTTGATTGGAGAGGTTGTTGATGTCCAAACTTCTAATATCGAAGCTGAAACCAATGGAACGAAATTACATGAGGGTTCTGTTGTTTTTAATGATAAGGGCGTCCCTTTATCTGATGAAGTTATACCAGACTATGATTATTTACTAGATAGGTTGGAGAGATACAACGAGAGTAGATTAGTCGTGGAAAACAAGGAACCTAATCGCTCCTTGAAGCGTACTAGCGAGGATGTGTATGGATTTCCATCCACAAAACGTTTTCGTCCTCTTACTGGTGGTTATAAAGAATTACTTGAAGAAGTAGGAGGAATAAACGATCAAGGCCATGGAAGACTAGGATCCGAATTTGGTGAAGATGACGAAGAGGACGATGATGAAGAAGAAGAAGACACCGACGGAGACGAAGAAGTTGAAGAAGATGTAGATGACGATGAAGGGGAAGGAGAATACGAAGAGGAAGAGACGTATGGGGAATTTGGTTATGATGAGGATGATAGCATATATCGCACAGTTTCTTTCTATCTACGTGACAGACGGTACGTGCAATTTTTTTATAATAGTTAGGGGATAAATACTAATTAATATCCTTACACATGTACCGTTTTACGTGTGAAGGAATGCTATGTTGAGATGCCGCCTGTTTGGTAAAGTCGCTATGACTTTCTACGATACATTTAAAGAGCAAGCTGATGGTGCTGTTATTTGTAATAAGATGGGGACTTATTCGTTGTTATGGAGGTTTGTTTTGCCTGCTTAGTATATAAGATGGTCGGGTTTGTTATAGATGTTAGCATGTTAAATAGTTAGTTTGATCGAGTGCAGGTGATGTGGCCATACATGCTACAGATTGTACCCGTATTGAGATTAATCCAGATATCCGTGGAGTGGAATGCTTCGATGAATTGTAAGTTTAGTTTTCCGTATAATTAGATTTATGATGTTGGGTGTCTGGGCTATAATATTGTTAATTCCTACGCTTCGGTGTTATTGTGAAGGGTCAAGAAAAACATGTAGTTGGGTATCTTGAAGAAGAAGGAAGGATTTATAGCCTCCGGTGGTGGATGTTAAAGTTATTATGTTTCAATTTCCGTTACGTTTTAACAGAGTTGTTTCAGCGATACCTCTATTATGCGGATCACAATTATCTCTTAGTTTTGTTTATTTTTTATTCTAAAGTTACGTTCTTATTGTGGATCATATATTGACGGTGATACGTTCGTCAGCGAGAACATTTAAATTTACATCGAATTTGTTATTTCGTTGGGGCTTAAAATAATATTTTATATATGTTAAATTGATCATTTCGTTGAGGCTGCGACCAATATTAAAGGATTCTTTTCTTTAGTCATAGGCTTCAAAGTGTATGCGTTTTATAAAACTGGAAAGTGACAAAGGACTTACACCTTCGTTAGTTTAGATTAATAACATAATACATAAATATTTTTGTAATTGGATTCCATTGCAAGTTTACTCTTATCGACTTTGTTTACAGAAAATAAAACTATGGATTTGTCACAAAAATGTAAACATGCTTAATCTATGATTTATCGGGACGATAAAAGTAAATATTGCGGTTTTTATCTACGCATTGGATTCGAAAATATCTATAACTATTTGGTAAAGTTAAAATATTTCCAGGAAATTTTATATGCTAATATCGAAGATTTACATTTATCTCTTAATTCGATTTTGTTAATATCCATAATTATTAAATTTTATTCTATATTATTCGAAAAGGTCGGTTAAACCCTAAACATTTTATGGCTATATAGGATCTACTGCTCGCTTTCGACATTAACGAAATCTATTAAGATATTATACTTTTGTGCGTTAAAAATGTCGTCAAGCAGAAAAAGCAAAAATTCACTAACTTTCATCGATGATATCAATCCTATTCACGATCAGTATAAGATTAAGGTGTTAATCTTGAGGCTGTGGAAGGCGTATCAGAAAGATGCGGGCAACACAATCGAGATGGTTTTGGTGGATGAAAAGGTTATGATTTGATTATTTTTGATATTATGTCTTCTATATCATGTGTTTGCTTTGTTTTTGTAACGTATAAGTATGCTAAGCATATTCTCTTTTTGGTTTTAATTAGGGTTCAAGAATCCATGCAACTGTTGAGGACAAAAATATCAAAAAGTTCGACGGTGTCCTGAAAGAAGGTGATGCCGTTACCTTGAATCCTTTCAAGCTCATCAAGTACTCTGGCGATTATAAGAGCAACAGTCTTTCTTTCAAGATTTTGTTTTACCGAACAACCCAGGTCAAACCATGTGATGATTTTCCAAAGGAAGTCCCTGAGAAGTATTTTGTGGAATTTGGTGATGTTTTAAATGGTTCACTAGACACGCGTGTTTTCGTTGGTAGGTCTGGTTTAAACAAAATATCTTAATTAGTTTGGTATTTGTTTATCTTTATCGCTGTCAAGCTAAATAACGATACGTATTGTTGTAGATGTTATTGGTCAGATTGTCAACGTTGGACCGATCGAGGATATAAAAATCAGAGGAAAAAGTACTCCAAAGCTCGACGTCGAGTTGCGTGATCGTGGGTATGTTAATTATGATCAGTCATTATAAGAGTTTGGTTTTCTGTATGTTTCGTTTTTTAAACGTGTTTATCACGTAATCAGGAACGTACGGTTAATGTGTACTCTATGGGCGGATTTTGCTAAGCAAGTTAGGTTATACTGAAGCAAATCCAGCGGCTGTTGTTTGTGTGATTAGGTGTGCTCAGGTCAAGGAGTGGAAAGGTATATATGTTGGTCGAATAAACTTCAAATATTCCGATGACTGTTCTAAATTCAATTGTTAACTTATTTAGGTAATTGGACTATATCTAATGCTATGGGCGCAACCCGTGTATTAACTCGATCCTCCAGGCGTTTTTGTTGATGGGTTCAGATCGGGGTAATAGACCTATAATTGTTTATTTATTATGTTTTGTGTTATTATATATGTCTGTATAGATATTAATATAGAATTCTTTTTGTAGGCTACCAACCGATGGCGTGGTATTGAACTAATCATGACAATAGTGAATTGTTTGCTGGATCAACTGTATCGATACGTGATCAATTCTTGGTGAAGAATCATAAACGAACTGTCCGAGATATAGTCGAGGCGTTAGAGGTAGACACCATAAATTTATGCGTTATTCCTTATATTCATACGTTTTAAAATGTAAAAAAAAAAAAATATTTGTTTGTGATTTAGAACTGGTTGGTATTTTAAGTCTGGTCTCTAAATCTATAGGAGGGTATGTGTGTGACCATGGTCACTGTTGGATCCGTCGAGCGAACGACGAAATGGTATTACGTTTCGTGTAAGATGTGCAATAAGAGTGTCGAGCCTTATCCAGAGATTCTGGTGATGATGGAAAACCACCTCTTTACTATTGCGGCGTTTGTGACAAGGATGTCTCTGCTGTGTAGTGTTCAGGTGATCGTGTCTTTGAATGCATTGTTTATGCCGTCTTGTGCATGTTAATACCATTATACTATGTTGGTGTGTGTAGTTTTGGGGCTCGGTTGTTCATTATTGTTCTGGAATAACTGTTTGTTTTAGATACCGATTGGTTCTGGAGGTTTCTGATGCAACTAACTACAAGGCAAGGTTTTTGTTGTTTGATGCAATGGGTAGTACGCTCCTTCGTAGAACTGCACAGGAGCTCTATAATGAAGTTTCTGAGGTAATGGATACGCTGTTGCTATTGTTTGTTTGGGTTGTTATTTATATTTTTAACGATTATTTGTTTGTATGTTTAATCTGTTGCGTGGTTTAATGATAGAATGACCCCTCTATTCTTCCCTCGGAGATTGGGGCATTGGTCGGGAGGCGGTTTCTTTTTAAAGTGAGTATAGGTGGCGATAATCTGAAATCGGATCGGTCGCATTACGTGGTTCAAGTTATTTTCTGATGATGATGAGCTGATTAAAGACTATTCTGATGGTCTAGACTCCGAGGTTCGTTTTTGTATCTTGGGTTGTTCTGTTTATAAGAAACTGTATATATGTTTTAAGTTTACTAAATATTCGGTGTTTTGCTTTATATTTACTTAATATATTGGTGTTTCTAAGGTTTTGGTGCCTTTGCCGTAACGGCCTATTACAAAGGAGGCCAATGTTCGCCGTGGCGGTGTATCCGCCGAGAATACGAAACCTCCTGCGAAGAAAATCAAAATCGAGGACAAGAAACAGAGAGTTTTTGCCACATCTTGAAGAAGAATTTGTTATTTTTAATATATATCTAGATTTAGCGGTTTTATTTATATTTAAATCTCATAGCAGACTTTATAATAATACATTATGCGACTTTATATTCGTTTTTGTTATGACTGAGTTTGGATGTTATTTGGTGTTTTCGTTATTTGGTTTTTTTTTTTTTTATACCTTCTCGAGTGTCATATTTAGATATTGTCGTTTTCGTTTTCTATGATCGGTCTGATGTTGTTTGGCAAACGACAAACGCGACGTTTCTGCTTATACACGTGCAAGTGTTTTCGTTGGTCTGAATATATTCTATACGCAACTAATACATGCATTTTGATTACACTAAAGATATGTGTTAGGTGTTATTGTTTGACGCCAATGTATTCACTTAGGAATATTGTTATAGATTAAGAGTCGCATGTAGGTAACATGTGTTTAGAAAAACGTGGATATTATTATATATGTATTATTATAAAATATTGGATTTCGTTTTATGTCGTATATAACAGTTTCACGTTATTTGTGATATATTTGGTATCTGATTTAGCATGCTGATTTATAATTAGTTAGGGTTATGTGAGCATTCACGAACTCTATATATTTGCACGTTTTATATTATGCTTATATGGTTTTACTAACGTATGTTGCTATCCCGGCCGTTTCTTTGAGCAACGTATAAATTGGTAGGTCTGTTGTATTGAGATATGTAACATTAACAATTCTAAAATAGTAAATATTGGACGGAATTAGAATGTTTCTTTTTATTTTGACATGCGACATACCCATATATAAAAACATATATACGGATAAATACTGTATGTGTAAACAATATGTTAGAATTAACATTTTAGGTATTGATAGATTTGATCATATCTCCTATTAATATAGTGGTATGTTTGTTATCTTCCATAATAGAAAATATTATTTTCCTTGGTTTTCGGTGGCTCAATATTTTACGTAAAAATATAGGTCTTATTGGGTACCCTAATACTTAGCTTATATATACGTCTATAAATAATACATGCATTCTTGTGTTAATCATTGCGAACGCTCGTGTTGAAAAGATGGAGGTAGTCGTTAGTATTTTTACTTGATGTTGGTCTGATATAGTTTATTGGTTCTGCGTTGAGTTGGCTTTCTCTTTCCGAAAATAACAATGATGTTTATTGAGTACTGATACGTGAATGTTTTGATCGGACAGGTTAACAAGCAAAACACTAACTCAACCCATATTAGCCAGACGGATGAATGCATCGTAGCTATCCAACAAGCGGCTTCGTGGGTGCTGCCGGTCGATAGATTGCGTGGTTTATTTGTTATGCTGATGGGTGTTTTCTGCGAGGCAGATCCGTTGTCGGTCTGGGATGCTACCTGGGATGTATTGTTTAAAGATGTGTTGTTTCCACAACAAATTATTTTTAACGATCATGGTAAATGTACACCGTTAGTTTTTGCCAGTGTTTACAAATATCGTCAGATGGCTAATATTTTATTATTTTGTTCTAGAGCCGGAGGTATGCCTACAATGAAATCCAAAACTTTGAGACATTTATGCGTAAGGAAAACTCTACGTTCAATGTCTATGCGGAATTACGGAAGAGAGTCGCTTAGCTGGTGGTCCTACATGTGATCTTTCGTTGGAATATAAGATGCGTGATCAGTTTAACAATCTTAAGATAGATTAGATTGTTTGCATCGTTTTAATTTATTTTTGTTTATTTTAGGGTTTTATAAACTATGTTTCTGGTTGGTTTCTCTCTATAAGATTATATTTGTTTCGGCAAAATAATAGAACATTTTTTATAGACGGTGTTTTGATCTATTAACGCTGCAATGAAGATTTTATTTTATTATTCCTGTCTTGCGTTCTCTTAACTTTTTTTTTTTTTTTGACGGTGTATCTTTATAATTACGCAATGAGTTTTAAGCACCATAAAACGCGATAGTTAAAACACATGGGTTCTTCTTCGTTGACCGTCAAACAACTTATGCTAGATGAAACAACGTCCTATAATGTGAGATGCATGATAGCTGCTGTATGTTGAGTAGCTACTTTCGTTTGCTATATGGTTTCTTAGGATTTTATACAGATCTCACGGTCATGTTATCTATTCATTTTATCTTCAAGTGATATTTAGGACCATAATTGTGAGGTTTAACAAGCTATGGAAAAATAAATTTCTGTCATTATAACTTGTATTTATGAGTTGAGATTAATTTAAAAAGTAAAATTCGTTGTGCTCGAATCACATATATGATTAATACTATATAACATATCATTAAAATATAATATTTCCAGTTTTCGGTTTACATTTTATATTTATTTCCGTGAGATTTTCATCTTCTCTCAAAGTTATGTATGGGTATTACCAAATGCGTTTGCTGTTAAAGTAAATATTCTATAAAATTCCTTCTTTTTTTTTGGATACAATCATTATAAAAAGTAAAATTTGAGTATATCTACAAAATATATTGATTAGTAATATATATCGCAATATTAAAATATAATATTTCCAGTTGTTCTATTAAAGAATACCATAGTAGATTATTGTTATATAAAATTTTCCGTTGGTTTCCTTGGTGTTCACGATCTTCTAGGTTTTGGAGACAATGAAACGTGGTAGAGGTCAGAAATAAGATCGCAAAGCTTGCATACGTTATATATTTTATGTTGTCGTATAACCATAATCCTTTTTTATAAACATTCTTGTCTATCACTCTGATTTGTTTCATTATGCCCGTCCAAAGGTGATCATCGACGTATACATCGCCGTGTTTATAATAACAACTTCGACTATTTGCTCGATGTACCCAAAGATGGTGCGAAAAAGGCAAGAAATTATCGTATGGAGAAACTCAGAGCACGAAGGACTGCCTGCCGTAATAGATTATCGGGTTAAGTCTATTATCTTTAAAAAATTTATTAATTTAATTAATAAAAACGCCCACACACGCGTAATTAAGTTGTAGTGACATATTATATTTTCCTTTGTGATTAATAAATATTCATAATTTCTAGGCATGGAGTCGATTAATCGAACACGTGTTATCGCGGCATATGAAAACATGATATCTGATGAATTACGTGCGTTATTAAATTCACGACCTCCTAAGGATGTTTGTTGTCGTGCGAGAGCGCGTCGTGTAGCAATCCTTAAATCAAGACGGATAAAAGCGAGGACAAGACCACCAGAAACCGGTACGATAGCTTTTTTATATTAAGTTTTTATTCTCGAAATTGTACGTGTGATTAACAAAGAAAAAAATGCTATATATAAGGGTTGGTGTTGCCGATTTGCGAAGATGATTACGTGCATTTCCTCGCAACCGATTCGGATTCTGATCATGGTGATAGGGAGGACCAAACAGACGACGATAATGCAATGGATTATGATTTTGTTGAACATCTCGATAACGCCGATGAGTGTATTATGGAACAGGAAGGGTTTGGATCCATACCGATCGTAAATGTGAAACCTGGATTAACAGAAAACGGTACTTACTATGGTTGTTTTTTGATATTTTTTAAAAAAATATAATTGATATTATTGTGTACATGAGTGCTTCTTGTGTCAGGTTATTTTGATGATGGAGATCCGTTTTATACCTGTCAGAATTGCGGTGCTTATATGTGGTTTGGCGAGCGTATTAACAAACGTGGAGCTAAAAATAGGCCTATATTTTCTACGTGTTGCATGAAGGGTAAAGTGGAGCTGCCTAAACTAAAAAATCCTCCACCGGGGCTTATGTCGATGTTGTATGGCAAGGATGAGACAAGCAAAAATTTCCGTGCTTTAATTAGAGCATACAATATGATGTTCTCATTCACGTCGCTTGGTGGTCAAATTGATAATTCCGTGAACCATGGGAATGCACCGTATGTGTTTCGCATGCATGGTCAAAATTATCATCGCATCGGTGAACTTTTGCCTGGCCCTTCCAAAAGTCCTGCTTTCTCGCAGCTCTATATTCATGATACCGTAAACGAAGTCTCGAATAGGATGGGTGTTATGGGGTGAGTTGTTTATTGTAATATACTTTTTATATTATGTCCACGAATTAATTTCCGTTTTTTGTTGTTTTTAATTGTTTTAGCGAAAAAGGACCGGGTAAGCAAATAAAGAAGAGTATCGTTAAGACTTTAAAGGATATGTTAGATGCTAACAACCCACACGTCATCGCCTTTAGATCAGCTAGAGATAGATTAGCACAATGTGAAGATACCAGCGGCTTTAAGTTGATTTTGAAAAATCATCGAGATAGTGACGGTAGAGTACAAAATATACCTACGACTGACGAGGTTGCTGGGCTTATCGTGGGAGATATAAACCCTAAACCGCGTGATGTAGTGCTTCAGGCTAATTCTGGAGGGTTTCAGCGTATAAGTGAGCTGCACCCATCCTACCTCCCTCTACAGTATCCTTTGCTTTTTCCTTACGGCGAGGATGGATTTAGGTTAGGTATCGACATTGGATTCATCGATAAAGGCGGTCTAAAAAGAACAAAGGTGACGATGAGAGAATTCTTTGCGTATCGCATTCAATCGAGGCGAGGTGAATCTCCTACGATTGTTATGTCCAGGAGATTATATCAGCAGTTTCTGGTTGATGCGTATACGATGATCGAAAGCAACAGGCTTCGTTATTTGTTTTTTAACCAGAAAAATCTCCGCTGTGAAAGCTATTCAGAGATTCTTAAAGTTTCTAAGAAAGGAAAGAAAAATCTTTCCAGAGAAGGCAATAAAATTATGATACCATCTTCTTTCACCGGAGGGCCTAGGTACAAGACGCAGCATTATCTTGATGCGATGGCTACTTGCAAGTATTATGGCTTTCCTGATCTGTTTATCACTATAACTTGTAATCCTGCGTGGCCCGAGATTACTAGGTATCTGGAAAAATACAACTTAAAACCCGAGGATAGGCCCGACATCTGTTGTAGGATTTTTAAGCTGAAACTCGATAATCTCATTCATGATCTTACCCATAATAAGAAGCTGGGAACTGTCTCTTCTGGTAAGATTGACCAAACTTTTATAGCGATATTTGTGTCTCGCATAAATTATGTGTTATTATTTTATATATAGAATTTTAGAATCATAAATTTTTATCCTCTTATTCTGTAATTTTTTATATGTTTTACAGTTTTATACACGATTGAGTTCCAGAAAAGGGGTCTACCACACGCACATATGGTCCTGTTCCTAGCTCCAGGATCAAAACTGCCAACTACTGATGATATTGATAAACATATTAGTGCAGAAATTCCTGATCCAGAGTTAGAGCCGTTTTTGTATGAAGTTGTAGCAGATATGATGGTGCATGGTCCGTGCGGAGTTGTTAATCCCAGCTGTCCGTGTATGCAAAAAGGCAGATGCACCAAATACTACCTAGGCCTTATAGTGATCAGACTAAGGTTGATGACGAGGGGTATCCTATTTATAGACGGCGGGCGGATGGCAAATTCATCGTGAAGCAAAAATTTAATGTCGATAATAGGTACATCGTTCCATATAACGCTTATTTATCGAAAAGGTATCGTGCTCATATTAATGTCGAGTGGTGCAATCAATTACGATCTATCAAATATCTCTTCAAGTATATCCACAAGGGACCCGATTATATCAGAGCAAAAATACAAAAAGATGGTCAAGAAGAGGAAGTCCATGACGAAATAAAGCAGTATTATACATGCAGGTGCCAAATGATACTAATTGTTTATAAAATGTTATGTTATCATCTTAAACTAAATGCTATTGTTGGGAGTTTTGAAATTATTGCCTCATTCTCATTATTTTTATGTCGTTTCGTTCTCATTATTTTTATGTCGTTTCGTTTATAGGTATATATCTGCATGCGAGGCCACTTGGAGAATATTAGCTTTTGCTACACATTATCGGTCTACACCAGTAGAAAAACTTACATTTCATCTTCCTGGTGAAGAGGTTGTTGTTTTCGATCCGAATGATCCTGTTGATGAGGTTATAAGTCGTAAATCTATCGGTCGTACAATGTTCTTGGCTTGGATGGAATGTAACAAAGAGTATCCAGAAGCCAAACAATTGACATATGCGGATTTTCCATCTAAGTTTGTTTGGAAAAGCAGAGAGCGTGTCTGGAAACCCCGAGTAAAAGGATTCTCGATAGGAAGGATTATGTATGTCTCTCCTTCCCTTGGAAACAAGTATTATCTAAGGCTCCTGTTAAATTCTGTGACAGGTCCTACGTCTTACGATGACATCAAAACGGTAAATGGCATTATATATCCCGAGTTTGTTGATGCTTGCAATGCACTGGGGTTGCTCGCAGACGACCGAATATTTATAGATGCTATAAAAGAAGCGAGTTATTTCGTGAAAGGTTTACCCTTGCGAAAATTATTTGTGATGATGATCGTCGCCGGAGATATAGTAAATCCTTTGCGAGTTTGGGAGGAGACTTGTGATCTACTGTCGGAAGGTATCTTATTCGAACGTAGAAGAGTGACGAGGAATCCGGGTAGGTGGATCATCTCTATTGTTTATGAAACATATATAGCTGTCTTATTAATTGAATAGTCATAATAGCATGTTTCGTGTGGTTTGCAGCTTTGACGCTTTCTGATAAACAAATAAAAAATTTCACGTTGGCGTCTATTGAACTCTTGCTGCGGGATAACGGGA